GGTGCTGAGCTCGCGGTCTTTCACAGGGACCCGCAAGGCTTCTCTGGCCTCACAGCCTCGGGCTGTGCCAGACTCCTGCCCATCTGCATGATTCAAAGCCAAAGTTATATTTGGGGAGAATGACGAATCTCTGTGAAATGCAAAGAGAACTCCCAGCCGCCCACCCAGTATCCCCACCACACCCAGCCCCGCCTGCACTGCGTCTGTAAGTCTGGAATCTCTAACATCTTTACCCACATTCTGTCCCCCTTCTAAGGAGCCCCGCCACCCCACAGGCACGGGAGGCCGGGGCCTCCACCGACCCCTCCCGTACAAGGGGACATGCTGGGGAGCGATGACCGTACCAGTGATGAATGCCGCCTGTTCATGCCGCCGCTGAGAAATGCCAGGTTCATTCACGGACACTTAACGTCCCTGAGAACATCTTCCAGGGAACGCTGTGGGCGGGCAGTTCCTAACGGGGCGGACCCACGTCTGGGAGCTCTCGCAAAGCACACGTTCACCCAGCAAGGACCCAGAGGGGGCTCCCGGGGCCTACAGGACCGATGCGGCTCTAACGGGCGCCTCGAAGCCCTTGGCCATCAGTCCGAGCGTGTCCCAGGGCTGTCCCAAATTCCACATGGATTAGTGCACCAGGTTTTCTGTTTCTCCTTATCCACACGCTTCAGCCCCTGTGAGGTGCCAGGCATGGGGAGCCACCACCCCGGCTCCTGTGCACCACCTCACTGCCCGGGCCGGGTAGAAACATCTAGAAAACAAGCACTGTCATGGACTTCTGCTGCTAATAACTCATCTTCAGCACCAAAGTGGACTCCTTAAAAAAAAAAAAAAAAAAAAAAAAAAAGAAGTCCTGGCTGGTTTGGCTTAGCAGTTAGAGTGTCGGCCTGCAGACCGAAGCGTTGTAGGTACGATTCTCAGTCAAGGGCACGTACCTGGGTTGCAGGTTCGATCCCCAGCCCTGGTTGGGGTCGTGTGGGAGGCCGCCCCCAATGTGTCTCTCTCATATCGATGTTTCTCTCTCCCTCTCACCCTCCCTCCCTTCCACTCTAACTGAGAAGCAATGGAAAACTATCCTCAGGTGAGGAAAAAAGAAGAAGAAAAGACAGGACACCTCCCTCCACACACTTGCATGTGTCCAACCACGACAATGACGTTCAAGTGCCCTGAAGACACCACTGTCACCTGGAGCCTCCGCTCATGACCTTATTTGGAAATGGGTCTTTGCAGATATAATTAGTCAAGTTAAGATGAGGTCATCTTGGATCAGCTGAGGACAAAAGGCCAGAGAGCCGAGGCATTCATCCTGCTCCGTGCGCATAGAGAAGCCCACAGACCCCCCTGGCTCTGCCCTGGGTCTACCAGAAGGCCCGCGGCAGCACCGGGCCGGCCACATGGGCAGCCCCTTTCCGGCAGTGTGCGCCCCGTCCAGGCACCGCGTTCCTGAGGTCCAGCGGGTACTTGCTTGACCTGATCCACGTGTCACAGAAACTGGGATACGTTGATTTTTCTTTTTTCTATGTGTAACCAACACACTGAAAATATAGTCCTTACTACTCAGCAGTGAGAATCAGAGGCCTGAGACTTGGACAGTCCTCGTCCCCTCCTCTCAGGTTACTTGCCTTCACAGGTGTGGCACAAGACAGGCGTGGGACACCCTCTGCCCCTCCGGACGCTGGAGGCGAGGAAGCCCTGGCACTGTCGGTTCCAAAGGAGCCAGGAGCAAGCCTGCTGGCCGTCCAGCAAGGACACGGTGACAGCTCAGAGCCCAGCAAAGCCACTGCTGGCTCAACCCTGCCAGCCACGCTGTCGGCGTGAAAGTCCATGAAGCCCGGCTCGCCCTGTCCTGTCCAGCAAGCCGAGCACAGCCTCAGGGCTCGGCCCCGCCTGCCCTTCCGTCCCCCTTCTAGCACAGGTCAGAGGTTATTAATCCAGCAACAGGGTGTCCGAACTGAAATGCAGATCAATTTTTTATCTACATCCTTACACGCACTCGGCAATGTGGTCCCTTGCTGCTTTTTTAAAAAATCAATGATTCAAGTACAGCCGATGCGCGGTATTAGTTTCAGGTGTACGACACCGTGATCTGGCGTCTGTGTGCCTTATGAGGTGACTTAGTGACAGGATGGTGATCACAGCTTCTGCAGGGAAGGGTCCCTAAGAGAGACGGGCTCCTGCTAAGGGCGGTGCCTGTGGCATTTTTTTAAAGCCTGTTCCCCCAAGCGAGTGGGAGAGGGCAGCATGGGTACTGGTTCAGTTCTAGAAGCAGTCTTTCTCCAGGCTCAGCAGCCATCAGGGTGTTTTCAAAAGCATTTCTTACCGAGGACTGTCCCACCTTCCACAGGATTTCGAAACACCTGCCCGTGTTCCGAATGTCTTGTCTCACGGGAGCGAATGTCTCCGACCCCCCAAGCTTGTTTATTTTAGGGACATCCTGTAATGGGGTAGTACCCATCACTTGTAAATGGATTCAAAATGCATATTTACCTAGGTGTCGACATTGACGTAACAGTGTGCTTTTACGCGATACCTGTTCTTTCTAGAAGACACTGGCTGGCTTCCACACCCAGTAACAATTCTGATTTCAAGGCAAAGGCAGGGCATGCCCAGGATCGAGACAAAGACTATAGGACACTCCAGGGACTGTGCCTTCAAGCATCCCTTCGACCGCAATCATCTGAGCTACTCAGAACTGAAAGTCCGTGACAATAAAATACATCTCTGGCCGGGTGGTCCTCTTGGCTTGCACCCTGAATTCCTGCCCTGCGGGCCCTGCCCAGGGCCCCCCAAGAACACACCCTGAAGTGTGATCGGTCCCTAAGCTCCATGAGAGGCCCTGGTTCAGTGAGGAGCAGCTCAGGGCACCGGTTTGAGCCGACGGGCAGGGACGCACAACCTAGAACGCAACGGGTACACAAATCACTCACTGTCCACAGAGGACAGGGAAGGCTCGGAAACCCACGCTCCTCCAGCCTCGTCCTGAAACCCCAAAGCCGACTTTCGGGGCCTGGAGTGTGACCTGGCTCTCGAAGGAATGACTGCTCCCCGGACAGTCCACACTCAGCAACCACCTCTCACACCCAGGCGGACGCAGCCACAGACCCACCCCGGGGAGTAGGCCTTTCTCTCCCCGGGAAAGCATTCAAGGAATTTGACTTGGGAGCTGGGAGGTGTCAGGAACCCCTGAAGGCACCCTGATTCCCGAGGACCCGCAGATCCTTTGAGAATCCAGGTGGGGCTGGGAAGGAAGGGGAGATCAAGGGCGGGTGCGATCCGACAGGAAGGTGAAGGGTTCTACATCCCACGAGGCCTTTCAAGGTCACGGAATCAAGACGGCGTCTTTGGGTTCCCATTCTCAGGTTTCCCATCTGCGCGCTGGGGGTCAGGGTTGTTACGAGGGTCCAACCACATACTGGATTGCAAGCACTTTGTCAACGGAGAGAAAAGAAAGTATTTCCTGAGGCTTCTGTATTTCTGAAAAGGAGGTCACAGGAGCCACTGGCTAGGTGATAACAGGAAGTGGTAGGGTGTAGACTGCTGCAGAGGCCGGCACAGCTGTCTGGAGTCCTCACTCTGGGGACACGGGGTAAGCTGTCACCCCCCCCTTCTCGGCTTGAGGCTCCTGGGGAACAGGAGCCAGGACACTGTGACTCAAAGTGGGAGCCATCACACAAGCGTCATGTGTGTGCACATCAAACATTCAGCTTCCTGGGCTCAAGCTCGGACGAGTTTGGTCGGAAACACTGGGGATGGGGCCTGACCACTGTCAGCTTCTCCAGATTCTTACAGAAACTTGAGAAGTACTAGGATGGCAACACGGGAAAAGCTGTGGAGTTGGGAAGACCTGGGTCAGATTCCAGTACCATGACCTAGCAGCTCTGTGGCTTCAGGCAAGTTACTGAACCTCTCTGAACCTGTTTGTTCATTTGTAAATAAGTATGAAGCCCAACCAGCATTGCTGGGAAGGTCAGAGATACTCATGTTCTTTATTTAGGCTATCCTAAGAGCCATGAACAACCCTGACCGGCCCCCCTCCCCACCCCCATCTTTTTTTCGTGGGATAATAATCTGACACTGAGAACTCAAGGGACTTCCTAGAGGCCCGTCACCCACAACAGCGGCGCAAAGGCCCATATCGGCCCCTACACCAGGGCACAAGCAAAGAACACAGGCGGGGACATGGGCCAGCTTTCGATGGAGGCCCAGGCCATCTCCCTTCTTGAGGGGGTGTGACCTTGAGGTGGGCTGGGCTCACCAGACCTGCTTCTTCCTCAGTGTCCCTCCAGGTGGGAGAATAAAGGAGAAGGGACAGCTGGCATCCTGGACAGGCCCATCCTGTGTGTCCACAACTCTGGGGGATGTAGGGAGAAGGAAGGAACAGGGGGAGCCCGTGGAATGAAGCTCCCTGGCACTAACTACAGGCAGGACTCACCGACACCCCCAGCCTCAGTCTCTCCATCTGGAAACCGGGGTTAACGTTAAGAAAGTAAACAGTCAGTGATGGGGTGGCGCCGGAGGGCGGTCTGCTGTGAGCACCCCTGCCTGCATCGGGTGTGTGCTGGGCACAGCAGAGCCTGGTGGTAGTTTCACTCTGTCCCAAGACGAGGTGTTGCTAAGACTGAGATTTACATTCCTGTGTTGGTTGTTAAAGTTATTAAAGATCCTGGCCCACGGAGCCAAGCCAAAGTCAGAGGCAGGAGCGGCTGGGAATGAGGACGCCCCTGGGCCGCTGGATTCCAGCCCTGGGATCATTCTAGTTCGGACGGGATGTCTAAGTGACAACCGGGAACAGGGTACCCTCTGCGCCCCAGCATCTAAAATTTCGTATTCTCTGCTTCTGGGCACAGAGGGGCCTCCGGAAGCTCAATGTTCTCTCAGGCCCACCGGCCCCTCGAGGCCGGGCACCCTGTCCCGAGTCCAGCGCTCTCCGGCCCCGCCCGGTGCCACTCACTGCGCGCCCCGGCCCCGCGCCGAGCCCGCGCCCGCCAGCCCGCCCGGCTCACCTGCTGAAGACCAGGCAGCCCAGGTGGTTGATGTCGTGGTCCGAGCGGTGGCGGCTGTAGTCCTCCCACAGGTCTTTGAAGGCCGTGACGGCCAGGATGAACAGCACAGGCGCCAGCGCCAGGCCGGGCTGGAAGGCGTTCACCGCCGGCACGAAGTTGAGCAGCGCGATGAAGACGAAGTACACGTTGGCCAGGCGGTGGAACTGCTCGAACAGGTTCTTGGGCAGGAAGGACAGCAGGGTGTACTTGGTGGTCTTGAGCCGGTTGTCGGCCAGGTGCTGGGCGCCCGCGCGCCACCGCGCGCCCCTGGCCGCGCCCGCCGCGGGGTCCTCGGCGCCCGGGGGCGGCAGCAGGCTGGAGCGCACCGTGCGAGTCCGGCCGTCGCGGCGCCGCCGCCGCCTCCCCGGGGGCGCGGGCTCCTCGGCCGCCGGCGCCCGCTCCATGGCCGCGTGTCGCCGCGCCCCGCTCCTCCGCCGTCGGCCCGCGCGCGCCAGGTCCTAGGTGATCATCGCCGGCGGCCCGGGCGCGGCGGCGCGGGCTCCCCGCCTGCCGGACGCACGGACAGGCTGTGAGCGCCGCCGGGCCGGGCTGTTTCCGCCGCGGCCCCGCCCCGCCCGCCGGCTCCGCGGAGAGCGGGAAACACAAAGACCCTGCACACCCCGGGGCCGCTCAGTTTCGTTTTCCAGAAGCCGCAGTTCGCGCGGCCGCGGAGCCGGGCCGGGCGGGGAGAGGGCGCCCCGCGGGGCGCGGAGCTTCCTGGACGCGGGCGGCCGGGAGACGCCCACCCCCGCCCGAGCAAACCAGTCGGATCCCAGTGAGCCACGCACACCCGGGCTCCGACTTCCCGATCCTCCCTGCCCGGGGACACCCGCCGCCTCTCCCCTCTCCCGACCCCTGCCCAAGAGTCACTTCTTGGGTGAACTGGACTTTTTCCTTCCCCTAACCACGCTGCCTTCCTGACTTCTCTAAATAGGATTTTTCTTTCTTCTTCTTCTCTTTTTTGGGCACTGTGGCAAAGGCCTCCCCTTCTCTCCAGCACACTCGGAGGACAAAGTATCCCTTGGGTGCTGTGGTTCTGAGGTGAGCTCTGTGACCCAGACAGGAGCAGGGGCTTGAGGATGGCTGTTGGGGACGGGGCACGACCCGGAGAGGGCCTCAGACGTGGGAGAAGTGTCTCACGAGGCAAAGGACACCCCTCAGTATTCACAGGGAATCAGAATGGAGTGTGCTGAATATTCCTGAGGGGCGGGCCTCCAGGGTCCACAGTAAGCACCCCCCCCCCACACACACACACACAGTGTGCGCATGTCTGAAGCACAGAGGTGAGAAGCAGGGATTTTTTTTTTTTTTTTGCCTTGGAGACCACGGCTGCGAGTTTGGGTGAAAGGTCCAATTTGGGGTACTACCTGTCTGGATTTGGGTTGCTGCTGGCCACCTCCTCCTGTAGACCTGCCCCTCGTTTCTCTGGGCCCTCTCAGCACCTCAAGGGCCTCTGCTGGCCTGGGTTCCTCCCGGCTGCGTGCTGGTAAGTCACTGTTCTAACTGCAAACCACAGGCCTCCTCGCCATGACCTGCTCTCAGGATGGCCCTCACCTCCTGCACCCTGGCTTACACCCCATCCGGCCGGGTCAGGTCTCCCACGGCCACAGAGAGCCGAGCCGCAGACCGCGGCGTTTACCAGAATCCAGCGTGAGGAGGAAGGCGTAACAGGTACTAAGAAAATGCCCATGACACAGATCAAGCCCCCCCCCCCCCCCCGCCACGCCTAGGGGTGCAGCACTGCGTGTGGAGGCCCAGATCAGAGGAAGGTCTAGCCGAAGCTCCTGCCCTTCCAGGGAAAGAACCAGCTCCCACATCCAAACTGCGGATTCACAGGACGCCAAGAACCGCAGCTTGCCTGGTTTCCATGACAAAGACGTCATGGATCCGCGGTTTCCTCCATCACCCAACCCAGGGAGGCCTCGGGCATGCTGGCCCCTCCATCTCCATTGAGTCTGCGCCCCTGTGGGTGTCCCCAGGGTGCCCAGAGCCTCCGGTGGGTCCCCCTGCCTCCCGGCTCCTTGCTTCAGCCAGTCTGCGTGTTGCCGAAGTGGTTACTGGCCTCTTTCATTGTCTTACCCTGGAGCTCAGGTGTCCCCCTTTGCTAACAGCCAAATGCTGACGCCTCAGGCAGAGGCCCCTGGAGGCCCTCAGGGGACTGGCACCAACTTGCTGTTTTAGCTCCGCCCCCTCCCGGCCCAGCCCCAGGGCCAGAGGTCTCCTTACCCTCCTCAGAACAGGCCTCGTTCTTGGGGCCCATCCACATTCCGATCTAAGGTTCCAAGATTCTACGAGTCACACTGCTTGTCCGGAACCTTCCCCCACCTACTCTTCGCCAACGCCATCCTTCTGCGATGGCCTGGCTCCGCTGGCCTCCCGGAGGGTTTTCCCACCGTGGACCTAGTGAACCTCATGGAATTACTTCTGTTCGGACGGATGTGCCGTGGGCAGGGAGCCTCCTTAGACTGCTCCACAGGGTGAGCTGGATGCTCTGCCAAGTGACCTTGCTGCCCAGGTCAGGGCAGGCTGGAGGGACTCCGGGCTACCAGCTGGACCACTGAGCTCCGATGAGGCCCAGCCACTGGGCCCTGGGCAAGTCGTTTTCAACAGAGTTCCCTGCTCTCAGGACCGTATGCCATCCTGGGGGGCTTCCAACAAGGAGCGATGCAGGGAGCCAGGTGGGGACACCTCTGCTGCAGTTACCATAGCTAGGGCTGTCGGAAGGGCCCCCGGGCAGCCCTAAGAAAACCAGGCACGCAGATATCGGGGGAAGACAGGTCAGTACGGGAGACCATGGGTTGGGCCCAGCCGGTGGGCAAGCAGAGACATGGTCCTCAGTGGCTCGTGTAGGGCCTGGTGGGTCACACTGAGGATTTTGCTTTTAGCTGTGAGAAGGGGCGCTTAGGAGACATGTGTGTGGACCTGCTGGCTGCTGCGTGACCAGAAAGCAGGGGACAGGCAGAGAGCTCTGCCGTCATCCTGGGGGGAGGGCACAGTGGCTCAGGTCGCGGTGGCCAAGCTAGGGTGGGACACGGCCTCCTTCAAGCCAGCGGGATCTGCTGTTGGACGGGGTATGACAGAAGCAGAGTCAAGGACAGCCGTGAGTTGCTGTGGCAGAGAGACAGAGGGAGGGACATGCCGGAGCTGGCCATGGGAGGCAGGGGTGCCCACGTCTGAGCTCTGAGGAGACCCAGCAAGTGGCAGTCTGGGCTGCAGAGCCAGTCTAAGTGTGACGGGCGTGGCCAGAGTGGGGGCTGGGCAGAGGGGCCAGCGTGTGGGCTAGTCCGGCCTTGGGAAGGGTCAGGCCTCTGGGTTTGCTCCAGAAGCGGCCGGAAGCCACAGACCGCCTGAGGCAGAGGCAGGAGCTGAGAAGCTGACTTCCCCTTTGGAAGAATGGAAGGTGATTTTCTTCTAGGATTTTCACGGTTCCGCAACTTACGTTTAAGTCTTCCATCCGTTTTGAGTTTATTCTTGTGCGTGGTGTAAGTTGGTGGTCTAGTTTCATTTTTTTGCTCGTGCCTGTCCAATTTTCCCAGCACCATTGATTGAAGAGACCGTCTTCACTCCACTGAGTGCTCTTGCCTCCTTTGTCCCATATTAATTGACCACAGGGTGTGAGTTTATTTCTGGGCTCTCTGCTCTGCTCCACTGATCTGTATGCCTGTTCGTGTGCCAGTACCCGGCTGTGTTGATGTCAGTGGCCTTGTCGCACAGTGTGATGTCAGGTATTGGTTCCCTCTGTCCCCTGGGGTCTGCACGTCTGTACACCAGCTGCCGGGTGAAAGTCGTGTCTCCCTGTGTCTCAGAAGGTCTGCCTGACCTCTGCCCTAGTTGGTGGGTGGAATTTTATCTTTCGATGCTGGGGTGGAGGAGAACCCACGTGACGTTGTTGGTGCCAAGGTTGAGCAAAGCCCTCATCTGTCTGGACAGACAGCTGCTGTTGCAGCCGAGCCGAGAGAGGCTCTGAATGGGGCAGAGGGCAAGCTAGTGGCCAGCTCAGCCCTCGGCTTCCCGGGGTGTCCATCCGCCAGGGTCCCAGTGCAATGTAACCCCTGACCTGCAGACTGGCTCCTCCCGTCACCGTGGTGGCCGCACAGCCACCGAGCTCCTGCAACCTCGGAACACCCCTTTGATTACCCTTATTTCCAAGTGGGGTGAAGTCCCTGCTCTCCAAGGTCTGAGGGGGAAGGAAGGATTCCAGAGTCAGCATCCTTCCTAGCAAGTGGCTGACAGAATCCCCCTGGGTGTGTGGTGGGCAGAGTGTGGATGGCTCCTGAGATCCCTAGATACTATTTGCACACCAACACGAGGCTTCCTCAGGGAGCTTAGGACCCTGGAGTGCAGGGGGAAGTTGAACACAAAGAGATTTTATTCTGCACCCGCACCTCTTCCAGGCTCCGTGTGATCCCCAATGGTTTCTCAGGGGCTCCCCCACCCCTGGCCCTGGGCATGACCAGCCCCTGTCCCTGCAAATCAAACATGCTTGCCTCATGAATGTAGCTTTCTTGGGAACCTGGGAAGTACTCACCTATGCAAGAAACCGGCCCATTCAGGGAGCAAATTAAATACTGGCTAAACCCTCCAAGGACACAAGGAGCTTTCTTTGAAAGTTCTCTGTGTTTGGGGCTCTGGGAAATTTCAGTTCTTAAAATAATACTCTTCGGAGCGTCTCGCGTTGAGATGGGAAGGTGGAGGGGCCTTTCCGTCTATAGACCCCCCCAAACGCTGTGGCTGGACTTCGGACACGGGCTGCCAGGGGGACATGCCGATGTCCCTCATAGAACCCTCTTGTTTCCGGGTCTGAAAGGGAGTTGTCCCGGTGCAGGGTGGGTTGTCACAGACGTGATGTTCCCGAACTTCGGCAGAGCACGGTGCTGTGGCAGTGGGTGTGCCACGGTGCCCGGCAGGCTCCCGGGCGCCTCGGGGGCTGGCCCTGCCGGACTGACCCGGGGCTGGGTCTCCCCGGGGCACACCCCCCTCCCCTTTCTCTTTGATTCTCGCCCTTTGCACACCTCTCGGAGTAGCTAGGGCTGTGGCTCGTATGTTTGAGCAGCTTCTGATGCTCATATTGGCCTGGATAGAGTATTATATGGCAATAACCCCACTCGAGAAAGCCGTTGAGGGACTTGTGGAGGGCGTTCAGCGGTGGCAGGGTGGGTGGCATCTGCCCCTCACTCCCTCCCTGCTGACGGCCCCTCCTGGGTAGCTCTCCACTCATACGCTCCTCAGGGTCCACAATCCGTTTACTCTGGGTCTCACTTTACAAAGAACATGTCGCAGGGGATGAGGCCCAGGGTTTATGATTAGGGAGAAGATCAGGCCTCCACTTCTGCTTTCCCTGCGTTTTGACCGAGGTCACATGGAGCGGGTACCGTGCCACCTGAAGGGTGGAGGCGATGCCCTGTGCCCACTGCCCATGCACCTGCTGGCATCTGTGGACACGGCCACCTCCGGCCACTGTCTCAGATCCCAGACCCCAAGGCCTTTCTCTCCGCCCATCTTCCCAAACGCAGCATGTCATTCGCTCTGCTTCTCTCTGGAACCGTCCAGCTTCTCTGTGGAGCACAGGACAAACTGGGGGGTGCACTGCCCCCATCAGGAAGGCAGAGGGAGGGCGTGTGCTGTGGGCAGCACTGCCACCTGGTGGCACACGCAGCACCTGCACCGCCGAGTACCGGTCACAGTTGGATGGAAACGTGGGATTTGGGGGGTGGATGGAGTCAGGCCCCACTTCACCTCCTGGGCCGAACACTCCATACAAATGGCTGCACCCCAAACACTGCTTTCCTTTTCATTTACTGTCTTTCCCTAAAGATACCTTATTATTATTATTATTTTTAATCATCTATGTAGCCCTGTCTTATTTACTAACAGAAAAAAAAGCAGCTAATGTTTCCAAAATGAACTCACCCTTCAGTCATGTTTCTGGTTTTATGGGAAAGTCTCATAAAGAAAAAAAAAATCTCTTCTTCTAATTCTGTATTGGATCCCAAAGTGTTTGGTCTAAGACACGAGCAAGCTCCAACCGTGTGGTGTTTTAATCCATGCGTGTGCCTGAATCTGTTTGTGCACGGGCGTGTGTGTGCAGGACGCGCACACGTCTAAGCAGGTGTGTGTGCACGTGTCCATGTGGCCGGCAGAAAGAGTGTCTGAAGTGTCCCTCGGTGGAAGAAAGAAACGTGTGCCTGCAGACCTGGGTGGCCCTCCAAGGACACGCGATTCCTGCGGTCTGAGCGCTGGGATTACTGCTGAGTCACTGGCTGAAGAGGACACTTTGTGACCGGCTCAGAGAATAGGCAAGCTTAACAAAGACCTACTTATTCCAAATCCTCAAGCAAGGTTTCTTCTTCAAAAGAAAGAAAGAAAGAGAAAGGGAGGTAGAGTGATAAAAATATGCCAAGTGATACTTTTACAGACAGGACGACTGTGTGTCTGCACCTGAGCATGTGATTCACCCACACGGTGCTGAGTGCAAGCTTCCAATTCACAGCACGGACGTTTACCTCTCTCCGTTTCAGATTTCCCTGGACGAGCTCAGGAACCGGAGTCCGTGCGACTGTTACACTAGTACAATTGTTATTCGCATGTCATGGAATTAAGAGCTTATTCATTGGGTGGGGGGAGGTAGAAGAAGGTAAAGGGGGATAGAAGGTGGTGGATGGAGACTCGATGTGGGGTGAACACACAGTACAATACACAGATGACGTTTTGTAGAATTGTATACCTGAGATCTATACATTATATAAACCTATATATTTTATTAACTGATGTCACCCCAATAAATTCAATAAAAATTTTTAAAAAGAGTGATTCAGTTATTTATCAAGCATGGATCACTACAAGACAACGTAGATCATCTGATAATCCAAACTTCTCGAAATGAAGACATCGAGACCCAGTAAGGGCAAATGACTTGTCCAGGGCCACAGAGAGGCGGCCTCAGAGTCGAGTCTGGAGGGCAGGTTCCTGTTCTCAGTTCGCCAGGCTCAAACCCTGGCCCCTACAGCTCTTTCTCTCCCCGCTCACAACTGTGCTCTGGATGGTGAGCACTCAGGAGAAGCCTGGTGTCCTTCATTTTAACCCGGTTCAGTACATTTTCCTGGACCAAAGAGATGGTTTGTTACAGTGGAGACAATGTTGGCTCGGAAGGTAGGTGATAGGGATGGGCTGACAGGTTGAGAGCGCGCTGTGATGGTGACCTTAGCTGAAATGATGAGATTGGGTTATAT